GGATACTAACAATTGTTTATAGTGGAACAAAGGCTACGACTATAAAAACTCGATTTCTCAGGCTTGTTTCTTTGCTCTTGGCGCGCGTCTCGCCCTCTTCACTGGCAATGATAGTTACGCCGATTGGGCCGATAAAACGTGGGATTGGATGGAAGGGACCAAATTCATTGACCCGGAGTCTTACTACGTTTATGACGGTGGCCACATTGGTAACAACTGTACCAAGCTGGTGCCTTACCAGTTCTCTTACAATGCAGGCGGCATGATTCTCGGTGCTGCGGCCATGTACAACTTCACCGAAAGCCCGGTCTGGAAGACTCGTCTTGACAATCTACTTGAAGGTGCAAAAGTCTTCTTCCAGGGTCCTCAAAAGAACATCATGTCGGAAGTCGCTTGTGAGCCCGTCAAGCTCTGTAACCTTGATCAGACGTCCTTCAAAGCATATCTGAGCCGTTGGCTTGCTGTTACGACGCAATGGGCCCCTCATACTCGTGACTTGATCATGCCACTCTTGCGAGCTTCAGCCGTTGCGGCCACGGACAAATGTGCAGGAGGCGAGAATGGTCGAATGTGTGGCCTCTACTGGACTAAGGACAAGTTCGAAGGGCAAATAACCGTGGGCCAACAAATGGCGGCATTGGAAGTCACCCTTTCGTGCATGATTCAAGACCGAGCTGCACCATTGACGAAAAATACCGGAGGAACCAGCAAGGCCAATCCTGGCGGTGGCGGCGAAGATATTGGACGAACAACTCCCGATCTAGACTACAAACCCTTACCAGCAGGAGATAAAGCTGGTGCCGCCATTCTCACTCTCCTCATCATCACTGGCCTCCTCGCCGGTATGCTCTGGATATTTTTTGACGAAACATCACCCAGTGGTCCTGTTGATCAAATGCGAAGTCTCGGATCGTCAACGACTGCTACATTTGCCGCTCTGGCTGCTGGCGGCGGCGCAGCCGCCATTCTGGGACATAAGAAGGAGAATGCCAACAAAAAGAATGGCGGGGTGTTCCCGGCATCAGGAAAAGGCAGCTCCCAAGTAAGCGCCGAAAAGCAAGCCGCAAATGATGTGCCGGTTGGTGCTGCCAACGGTCAAACCACTGAGCATCACCGTCGAGTGTCAAGCATGCCAATGGGATGGCCACAAAATCCAGTAATGAGGGGAAGTACTGCATATGATTCTGATGGAATCTATCCTGTGTCGGCTTCAGCACGACACTCCCGAGGGGACTGGGCTGTCGGTGGTATAGGCGAATCCAGTAGTGGTCCAGGCAGCTCGGCTGGTGGTAACAGAAGCTACACCCAACAGGAGACAACGACTGGCGAAACCACACCGGGCACCGAGGAGTTTAGCCTTCCACAAGGGAGAAACAACAAGAATGCTGCCCACCCAACCGAAGAATTTGAGCCTGTGTCAGAGGATCAACGAGGACCTTCGGGAACTATCGGGGTGGCGCAATGACTGTTTGGTCTATCAGGTCATCATTGTCTCTCAATGGGGAAGTTTTGGGATTTATAATTTTCTTGGCGATATACGCTCAACTAGGGTTATAACGAATGATTAATGCGTTTCAGGGGGCGTTCTGACGGTCATGGCGCATATGTACTGGGTAGCCTGTGTCAGGCTTTTTAGGGATTCAAGTATATAAGTTGGAGTGCCTTGTGACAAGAAGGCCCCATAGCCACAACAACAGAGCGACATCGTGCTCACTTACGTATCAAATCCACGATTCTTGTCCTGTCCATCTTGAATCTGAATAGATAAAATACATTCAAGTAAGTCGAATCGAATAAGGGGCAAGCTGAATTCCAACAAGGAGAATAGTTACATGTGCATATCAAGCGTGATTACGATGATACCCGGAGGAGGTTGGCCAAAGCAACTTAAACCACTTATTCACACCATCAATTCCCGGCCTCTCAAAACAATTTCCGCACACCCCTCAATCGGCCTTTCGATAAGTCTCCCTGATAGCTTTCCCCTCCCGTTCCAAGAACGTATCAAATGAGCTCAGCGGGATTCCCCATGCTTCAGCTTCCTCTCTGGTCGCAAACTTGGCCATTTCTCGCATCAAGAGCTGTCCAGAAATGAAGGGGTTTGTTGCCTTCTGATCATTAATTGCCTCCTCAGAAAGATACTCGGCCTTCAGTTCCCTTCTCACTGATTTGGAAAGCTTCTGCAGAATGATCTCTACCTCGAGCCACTCATCAGCGTATGTGATCTCCTTTTCGTGGAAACGCTCTGGGTCCAGGAATGCTTCGCCGCCGAACTTGCCGATCGTTACAGTATCAGTCATAGGCAGAACAGTTGTGGGCATGAGGGCAGTCGTCCAGACACCGTTTTCGACGAGGCCGGGATACATCCTGACGAATGGTTCCAGATAGTTGGCCATGAAGTTTCCAGGACGCAAGATGGTCCAATACTCGAAACCTGCATTTCGAAGCTGGTTCTCAATACCATGCTTGTTGCGCATAATCGTGTCCAGGAAAGTTCCTGGCTCAAGAGCAGTCAGCTGATCAGGATCTCCAGCGCTGAAGCCGCTCGAGAAGATGGCATGCTTAACACCAGCTGCTTTACCAGCGTCAAAAATGCCGGTAGCCCATCGCCTTTCGGCAGCGAGGTCTGTGAAATCCGGCATAAGTACAAGGAAAAGGGCCGTACAGCTTTCCATGGCCTCCTTCAGTGCTTCTTTGTTATCGTAGTCGCCGGGCGTAAGTTTGACTCCAATTGACTGCAAGGCTTTGGCCTTCTCAGAGGTTGGGTCTCGAGCGAGGGCTTGCACAGGGACATCTTTGGAGCGGAGATAACGAGTGACGGCACCTCCTTGGCAACCGGTAGCACCACTAACGAATACTGTAGGTGTATACATGCTTAAGGACTTAAAACGGTGTGCTTTTGGAATGTAGGGGTTGAAATAAACTGTTGTTGTTGAGTATAGTTATGTGATAGATGGCTGTGTGAAAAAAACAGGAGTATGTTAATTGATCACTGTAAAACATCAATCAACCTTCTTTTATGTCAGTCATCTAGTAGTTTGCGGAGATGATCGATATTCAACCCGTCGCCGGAGATCCGCTTCTTTCTAACTGCAGACCCCCCGAGTCCGGGTCTGTTACGCCGGGCGGAGTTCCGCCCAGACCCAGTCTTTTCCCGCCGCCTTTCGCATTTCCGCTTCAGCTCTCTTTGGTTGTTAGTCTTACCTTCGTCTTTCACCATCACGTCCACTATCCTCTGCGTTACCACTTCGACTTCCGCACGTTTTAGATATCAAAGCGATTTATCATGTCTCTCACCGCTAGAGAACGCCGCAACCCCCCAAGTCGGCGGAAGTCATGCACTGCTTGCACAAAGGCCAAGCGGCGTTGCGACTTTGCTCTACCAGCGTGCCTCCGATGCTCACAAAGAAATATCTCCTGTCAATATCCTGCTCGCGCTTTTCAAGGATATTTGACTCCGCAATCAGAATCGCCAGAGACTATATCGCCTGGCCTGCTTACCAATAATGGCTCATCCCCTGAAAGATCAGAAACCATTTCCATTAGTGGATCTATGATTGAAGACTTCAACGCTGTTATCTCGAGCATTGATGCTAGCCCGAATGACCTGGGAACCTTCGATATCCCGCTAGAGGATGTATCATTGGACCTTGTTCAACAATCGTACTCATTGACTGCGCCCTCAACACAGGAGTTTGGGAATATCCCAGCAATCGTTCTAAACCGCCTTCAGTGGGCGGTTGATGAGATCAAAGAGGCTCCCAAGAAGATGGTCCTTGAGAATCAAACACCTTGGTGTCATCCGTTGCTCTACAAAGATGAGATGCCTCGATCTATGCAAGGTAAAGACATAACCTAATCATCTTCATCGCCTGATGTCACTAACTTCAGCTTAGATGCTCATGCTTCTTGTGCACTGTATATGGCAAAGAATCGTGTCAACTCCCCCATCATATTTCGTAGTATAGAATCTCGGGTCAACGATCTCCTCTCGGCACCGCCGCCTATAACGCCTTTGGACTGTTTGGCTCATACTCAAGCTCTTATACTTTACCAAATTATTCGATTATACGATGGCGATATTGGCGCTCGTGCATCAGCAGAGCGTATAATTCCAGCCATCGAAGCTTCTGCAATATCACTCTTCTCTTATGCCCAGTTCAACATCAACGGAACAGCCGGCGCGCTCCCTATATTTCCCATAGCCCCTACAAAGACCTTTTGGCAGGATTGGATTCTGCAGGAGTCTCTACGTCGCACCCTCCTGTTTTCGTTCTACTTTGTACAGACCTATCGCATTATGGTCGGCTGCAAGATACTGCAATGTGATGGGAGACTTGGACTATGTCACTCTTGGACATTATCTGCGCATTTGTGGAATGCCATGACCCCGCTGAGTTTTGCTGAGGCCTGGAAGGAGAAGAACCACTATGTAGTAACGAACGCGGTCTTTAATGATGTCCTTGATGAAGCAAAAGCAGATGACATAGACATTTTTGGGAAGATCATGATCTCAAGCTTGTTAGGGCGAGACGAGGCAGATGGGTGGTTCGCAAGTAAGGGTGGGAAGTTATGAGCATTGGCAGAAAAGGGTCAATATAGTATTTGTGTTTTCCGTTGATCAACCTGGCGCACATGTATACCTGGGCAACCCTTGAGCCTACTAAACTGGGTTTTCTTTTTTTTGGTAAACCTCGAGTATATGTTACTTACATGCAGAGTTCTGCTCCCTTGGAGACATCATAGCTACCAAAGCTTCTTGGCTAGTAGCGAACAGATTGACCAACACAGTTTCTTATATCAGAAGCAGTTGATAAGTGAGACAGGTTTTAAGTTTCGAAGAGATATACGGCAGGAATTGCATCTGTCGCAGTCGATATTCAAACAAGTTTCTGAAAATATTAACTTAAGGGTATGCTCCAGCTTATTCCCTACGGAGACAGCATCGGCAGTGTTACGATGATCTTCTTTGGTAATACTGGTGGTGATTGCAAGCAACAGCGGGTTTAGCTCAGTTGGGAGAGCGTCAGACTGAAGTCAAACTTTAGGATATTGTTATCTGAAGGTCATGTGTTCGATCCACATAAACCGCAATCATTTTTCTTTTGCTATGTGTGTGTACATGCATCCCTGATGGAGTATTATTATTTTGTCTTTGAGCTAAGATCTAGGTGGGCTAGACAGGAACGATATCATCCCAACAAAGTATCTATGTCTGTCTGCCTGTTTGGTATGCCTCCCTTTACTTATAAACTCTATAAAAATAAATAAAATAAGATAAAAGTACTATATAGTAGATATTCTTCTAAATAATACTTATATACGCTTATTTCTTCTTATTTTCTTATTTTATTTTTAAAATTAGAATTAGAAAAAATTTAATATAATTATTTATCTTATTTTTAA